ACAGAGGGACGAGCACATGTCACACAGAGGGACGAGCACATGACACAGAGGGACGCACATGACACACAGAGGGACGAGCATATGCCACACAGAGGGACGAGCAGGTGTAACTGATCACATTAACGAGCTCCATTGAACTTCTTGAGCTTCAGCTATTGTGCACGCTGGCTCGCTGCTACGCTGTCATGGTGTAATTACACAAATCTATCAAATGATCGTTGATACAGTCTCCTTCCCAGGGTGTCAAACACCAACAGCAGTTAGCGTTGCTCTGGTTCCCTCGACTAAAGGCCAGGTGGGCTTCTGCATGGTGTTGGTCAGTAATGACGATGGCGCGACACCGGGATTCATTTTTGGAGTAGTTGATCTCTGTTTATTCTGACCATGACAAATAAAAAAAGCAGACCCCCATGTAATCAATAGCCTACTGTCCACTCCTGCTACTACAAAACCAATGTATAACACTGGACAAACGGGGGTTAGCTTAGCTTCCCACAGCGTTAAGCTAGCGTTAGCAGCGTTTCTTTATGGGCCTCTGGGGCTCAGAGGTGCAGCGGGTCGTCCCCCAGTCAGAAGATCAGTGGTGAATGTGATCAGTTTAGTCCTGGTGGCAGGTGCATGGTAGCAGCTATCACCAGTGTATGAATGTCTGTGAATGGTGTGATACAAATGTACGTCCATTTAGCTTGTAGCCAGACGTTAGCTTTTTAATTCTGACCACCTGTAAGAAGTGGTTCATCACGACTTTTTATTTACATTCATTCATTTCACACATTTGTCCATAGCGACAGAAAATCATGTATTACAAAAGTTACATAATGCTTACTGTAATTACACCTTCTTTTTCTTGTCATAATCATAAAGCTCCACTCTAAATGTTTCTGTTCACACTGCTCCTAAACTGTTAAATAGCACCAGATCTGTGTCTCATTCAACTCTGACCTGTATTTAACTGTTTAACTTTGTCTTACTTTACACTGTACACCACATACTAGCCTATTGTTTACACTGTGAATAGTTACAATCATTGTACTGGGCATTCTATTAACTGGTTTACTGTTGAGCATGGACATTTATTTCCAGTTATTTATGCATTATTAATTGATTTATCAGTAACATAATTGGCAGATTAATCAATAATGAAAACATATTGGCATATTGTTGAAGAAACTGCATTTGATTTTACTGGCAGCTACTTAACCCTGTGCAATGATAATAAATAACGCATCTACAGCCGTGGCCAAAGGTTCTGAGAATGACACAAGTATTGGTTTCACAAAGTTTGCTGCTTCAGTGTTTTTAGATCTTTTTGTCTGATACTATGGTTACTGAAGTATAATTACAAGCATTTCATAAGTGTCAAAGGCTTTTATTGACAATTATATTAAGTTTATGCAAAGAGTCAATATTTGCAGAGTTGACCCTTTTTTTTCAAGGCCTCTGCAATTTGCCCTGGCATGCTGTCAATTCACTTCTGGACCACATCCTGACCGACAGCAGCCCATTCTTGCATAATCAATGCTTGGAGTTTGTCAGAATTTGTGGGTTTTTGTTTGTCCACCCGCCTCTTGAGGATTGACCACAAGTTCTCCATGGGATTAAGGTCTGGGGTGTTTCCTGGCCATGGACCAAAAATGTCAATGTTTTGTTTTAGTTATCACTTTTGCCTTATGGCAAGGTGCTCCATCATGCTGGAAAAGTCATTGTTCGTCACCAAACTGTTCTTGGATGGTAGGGAGAAGTTGCTCTCGGAGGATGTTTGGTACCTTTCTTTATTCATGGCTGTGTTCTGAGGCTACATTGTGAGTGAGCCCACTCCCTTGGCTGAGAAGCAACCCCACACATGATGAATGGTCTCAGGGTGCTTTACTGTTGGCATGACACAGGACTGATGGTAGCGCTCACCTTTTCTTCTCCGGACAAGCTTTTTTCCGGATGCCCCAAACAATCGGAAAGGAGATTCATCAGAGAAAATGACTTGACCCCAGTCCTCAGCAGTCCTATCCCTGTACCTTCTGCAGAACATCAGTCTGTCCCTGATGTTGTTCCTGGAGAGAAGTGGCTTCTTTGCTGCTCTTCTTGACACCAGGCCATCCTCCAAAATTCTTCGTCTCACTGTGCGTGCAGATGCACTCACACCTGCCTGCTGCCATTCCTGAGCAAGCTCTGCACCGGTGGTGCCCCGATGCCGCAGCTAAATCAGCTTTAGGAGACGTCCTGGAGTTAGCTGGACTTGTTGGGCGCCCTGAAGCCTTCTTCCCAACAACTGAACCTCTCTCCTTGAAGTTCTTGATGATCCGATAAATGGTTGATTTAGGTGCAATCTTACTAGCAGCAATATCCTTAACATTCTGGAGTATATGCAAATTGCCATCATAAAAACCGAGGCAGCAGACTTTGTGATAATTTATATTTGTGTCATTTTCAAAACTTTTGGCCAGTAGTGTACTCTAAAGGAATCTAAACATGGAGTCAGTGCTGTAAACATGTGCTGACTGGCAAGATAGTTGATTTTGTTCTCACTGTTCAGTCACTACATCTGGTAATAATAATAATAATAAATAACCAAGTTAATTTAAATGTTACGGATAACTTTTTGTATTGGTTTCAACCATACTCTGCTTTCAATGCTTTATAAATAAAACTAAATTACAGTTAGTAAAAATACTGCTATAATTAACAATAATTATAACAATAATAACTATCACCATTATCAATGATAATGATAACAACAACAATACATCCGATTCATATAAAGCTTTTCAATTTTATTATTTTTATTATTATGTGGAACTATTGCAGACCGCAATAAGGGTGGAGTGTTGGTCAAAATGATGCAGTGTGCTATTTCTGGTATCAGGTTAAATTGTCATTTTGAGATAAGAAGCACTGATCGACGTGTTTACTTGGTTATCAGTCTGTGGTTACACTCCGCCCATATGGAGTTGCTTTCGATGCAAGGCCAAAGGTGAGAAACATCTCAAGAGATAACCCTTAGTCAATTGGGCGTTTTTCGGGGAGACAGGGGCGTGCACGTAATGTGAGAGTATGTTCGATTCTTAATGCCAGGCAAAAGTGCGAGCGGAGTTAATTATGATGTTATACATTAACCCAATTTGACCCAGATGTGATTGTATAACTCAAGGGGAAACTGTTTGTTTTTCTTTACTTCTCACTATGACCACGCGCGTTTTACTAAATATCTACAGTTGATAAAACAGTATAAACTCCGCTTTTCCGGGCCGCAAAACATCTATAATTCGAGTAAATGACGCAGTGAAGTGGCACGCGCTGTAGCCAATAAAAGATCAGGGCCTGGTGTGAGCGATGGGATCTCAACCAATAGTGTTGCAGTGACCATTTGAGTGACACACGCTGTAGCCAATAAAACTACAAGGCCTGGTGTGCGCGATGAGATCTCAACCAATAGTGTTGCAGTGACCGTTTGAGTGACACACGATGTAGCTGTAGTGGGGGAAGGGGCCGCTGAAATTGACGGAACCGCCATCTTGAAAAGTGCCCTCCGATGGTCTACCTTTTCGCGCCTGTCAGAATCCGTTTTAAACGCGTTAATTTCCTCCGGAATTTCGTGTTTTCTCAGTGTTCGTTTTGTTAAGGCCTGGGGCTGATGGCAAGATAAGCTACATGCTGGAGACTCGCCGTTTACCGTTGTCTATCGGTAGGTACACTTGCTAGCCCATACACTTGGTTGGTGCTGAAGATACGATTAGCCAGCACTCTGTAGAGAGCCGGCTAACGTTAGCTGGTTAGCAAGAAACATACTTGGCCATCTTAACACTATTCTGTCAGTCGCTCTTGCTGTACCTCTAGCTAGGATACAGGGTAACGTTAACGTTTCATATCAGTATTGGTAGCTACCGTGAAGCCATAGCGGTATTTAGTTGGCCAAGTTGTCATTCAATTAGCGTTAGTGTCATATCTCAATGGTACCGGTCAGGTCGACGTAAGGTTGGTCCTTACCGGTAGTTTGGTTCTGATTTTAGGTGGCCAGGTTAGCTAACAAGAGCTAACGATCGCTAGTGACGTTAGCCTGTTTGCCTGAGCCGGTGCGTTTGTGTTGCGTTAGCAGTAGCTGTTTTGGGCCCTGGTACGTAAATGTACTGACGTTGCTGCAAACGTAGTATTTCGACAGCAAAACGTAAATAACGTAATTCATTGGTAGTGTTTATATGAGCCAGGCTTGAATAATCAGATCTTGC